GTTGATTCATCTCTTTGTGTCAGTGGGCTGTTAAAAGTCCCCTTGTCCAATTATGTTTTGCTCGTTAGAGTTTTCATGTCTGTTAGAATTTGCCTTATATAGCTGGGTGCTCTTATAGTGGGTACATATATATTTATAACTGTCACATCTTCATCTTGGCAGTTTTCCCCTCACAAGTATGTAGTGACCTTATTTATCTCTTGTTTTGTTTTGTTTTCTTTTGTTTTGTTTTTGGTGGTGCCAGGGATCAAACTCAGGAACACTTATTCCACTGAGCTATCTCCCCGGCCCTGTTTATCTCTTTCAGTCATGCTTGGTTTGAAGTTGACCTTGTTAGCAAACAGAATAACTATCCCTGCTTTTTTCTGGGTTCTTGTCGCATGGATTGTTTTCCATCCTTTGATGTTTAGTCTATTAATTTCTTTTTGCATTAAATGTGTTCCCTGTATGTAGCATGTTGTTGGATTTTGTTTCTTGATCCACTCTGCCAGTCTACTTCTTTTAATTGGTGAACTGAGTCTGTTTACATTGATGGATGTTTTAACTGATATGTGTTGGCTTATCTTTTTCGTGTTGTTTTCCTACTGAAAGACCCCTACTTTTCCCCTCTGCTTAATTGCTTGCTGTGCTTGGTGATTCTCTTCTTTTGTTAAGCTGTGGTCATCTTTGTCTCTTTCTAAAAGAGGTCAGTATTCTTTGTAAGCTTGGTTTGATTGTCTTGAATTTCTTCAGTTCTTTGTCATGCCAGTATCTTATCTCTCCATTAAATTTGATAGCTAGTTCAATCTGGGTTGGAAGTTGTTTTCTTTCAGGGCCTCAAATATCTCACCCCAAGCTCTTCTTGACTTAATGGTCAGTGTTGAGAAATTTGCCATGAAATTCTGATGGATTTTCCATTACAGGTGATCTGTTTTGTTCTAACAGCTCTTAACATTTGTTTTGCTCAATTTATGGAATCAATCATTACATGTCTGAGTGAAGATTTATTTAAATTATGGCTAGCTGGAGTTCTGCATGCCTCAGTTAATTATATGTGAGATTCTTATCCCTTATGGGAGATTTTCTGTTTCTGCAAATAATTGTTTTATGTCATTTGTATTGACTTCAGCTGTTTTGTTGATACTTATTAGTCTTACATTATTTTTCTTAGCATCACTTTGCAGCTGTTGTACTATTGCCTGATTCCTTGTTATTATTTTTTTTAATTTTATTTATTTATGTGTGTGTGTGTGTGTGTGTGTGTGTGTGTGTGGCCAGCTCAGCCCACCAGGGGTGGGGCCAGCACAGCAGGCCCTGGGATTGAACCCCCAGCCCCTGCACCTGCTTGCAAGCATTTTAATCCACTAAGCTATTTGTCCGGTCCTGAAATTCTATCTTGTGTTTCATTTCAGTGGTTCTGTCAGCTTTCAGTGGAATGGTTAATTTCCTGGATATCTGTTTGAATGTTACATGCATTCTAGATCTTTCCTTTATTGTTCATTGAATGTTTGCATCATTTTCCTATTCCCTTTTATTTTTTTAATCTATGTCTTCAATAGATCTATTTAGCAGTTCTTTTATAATTGTTGCCATTTCCTTGTTTACCTGAGAGATTATTTCTGATCTGATTCCTCCATAGCCCATAGCCCACTGGAGTTGTTTCTTTACTTCAGTTGCTATCATTTCAGAAATTTCAGGTGTGTGACATCCAGTTTCTTCTGTGACCTTGTCTCCTGAAGTTGTTTAGGTCTGAGATTGCCTTTTGTTCCTTCTTTGTCATTTTTTTTTTGAAGCTCCCAATGTTTTCCCTGATTCCACAGCAATGGTAGAGTAAGTCTGTCAGGAGAGTGAGAGGGCAGCAGAGCTCTCAGTATGTGGTTCTGTGTGGCTTCCACTTCCGTGGTGCAGGTGGTGGAAGGGCAAACTGCAGCTGAAGAAGGATCCGATGATGATGTTATAGACCAAAGTTCTGCAAGGCTCTCTTGATGGTGGGTCACTGCAGAGTATGGCACACCAGGGCTCCCACAGGTCCTTCTGGGCACCTGGTTTCAGGTCCCTGTGGCAGTCTCAGTAGGCAAATACGGGTGGCCAGGGCTTAGCCAGGCTCCGGCAGGTGTGATGGGGTGACCAGGAAAGGCCGACCAGGTCCCCCAGCAGTCTTCCAGGTGAGGATGGGCAGCCAGGACTCACAGGAACTCTGCTGAAGGTGGGAGAGCGTGGGGCTAGCCTACCAGGTCTCCCTGGCAGTCTTCAGGTTGAGGATGGGCAGGCAGAACTATCATTTTTCAAACAGTAGGAACACCCATTCCTTTTTATCATAAACCAATTTGAGCAGTGTATTCCTTTGTTAATTCAGTCACTAATTATGCCACCCCTTGGTAACATCCAGGTGATGCCTCATAATGGAAAACAGCATCACATGCTTTGGACGTGAATATTCACTTGGAGAAGTGTACTGGAGTAGCACGCTGATTCTGTCAAAGCTTTGGTCTTTCTGGGTGGTGCACTGTTTTGGGACTCATCCTGTTTTGGTCGAGGTTGCTCAGTGCTCAGTAAGTCATACATAGTAGAATTCAAAAGAAAAATTGGGAAAAGACAAAGGTCAACCCCTAAGTGACTGTAGGCATTTGTTGCTGCTCAGAATTGAAACAGGACATGAAATTGCACTCCGTGAAGATCCCAACTATGAGATCAAGAGGCCCCAGGTTTAAATGTCCTGACTTCTCCCATTTCCCTGACTCACTGACGCCTTGGGCTGCGTGGGCGCAGTGCGTTGTACATACCCGCAGGAGTGTGTTCAGTCTTCCGACTGTGGGTTCTTTTGTGACCTGCAGTGAAGCAGCCTTCTTCCCCAGCCAGTTTCCCTTTTGCTTCTCTTCACCAATTTGCTTGTATAAAATATAAGTTGCATAAGGACTTAAAATTTTATTTTCATGACTTAACCATAAGATTATGATTTTCCTAGCGTGGGCAATTGATTACATCTGGTGAAGCAAGAAAAAAAGCAAAATTAGAAGTGGGGTGTGTGTGTGTGTGTGTGTGTGTGTGTGTGTGTGTGTGACTATCTTATCCCACCCTGGGGGTGGGGCTGGAGTGGCATATGTTGCCAGGGATTGAACTGCGATCCCTGATCTTGCCTTAGCAGACACTTTAGACTGCTGAGCTACCTCACTGGCCCCCTTTTTTTCTGCTTTGAAACCAACGTCTCACTGTACAGATCAGACTGGCCTTGAAATCAGTGTGTAGCCCAGGCTGATATAAATTAATGTACACATTCCCCATGGTAATTTAATGTTTGTTTATTTTTATTTTTTATATTTTTTGGCGGAACCGGGGATTGAACTCAGGCCCTTGCACTTGCCAGGCAAGCGCTTATTCTATTGAGCTATCTCCCCAGCCCCTAGTGTTTAAATTACCATATAAATTTAGTATATTTTGCAGTAATTTTATTTTCAAACTTCTTGGTAAGACTTAATATTAATAAAGATATAAATATGGTGGACGCCAGAAATTTGTGAGTGTTATGTTCCTAGAGTTCACGTGTATTGTAAAGATGCAAACCTCAAATATGAACAGAAAAATGTTTATAAATGGGTATTTTTATTACTTAAACCCTAAATATGTAAGTTCTCCTGAAGTTCTATATGAATAATGCCTGCCTTTAAGAAAAACAAACCTGATGACAACTGCTGAGGGAAGGGAAGGGAAGAACTTCCTTCTGGGGCTCCTTCTTCTAGTCACAGACTCCGTATTCTGTGCTAGAGAACAGGTATTTTTAAATGGAAGAAAATGAACAAAACACAACAGAAGACGTTCCTCCACACCCTTCAACTCTAAACATATAGTAACAAAATCCAAAACAGCTCATTCAACCCATTGCAGAAGCTCTTTGTGGGCACTTGGTAACACCATAGTGAAAGGAGCTCCAGAGCCACCTCGGTGCCCCCCTCTGGCTTCCTGCACAGGGTCCCTTACTTTCCTCCGAGGAAGCTCAGAAGGAGCATTGATTGACTCATGAACTGAGAGTGAGTTTTTATCCTTAGCCGTGGTGAATTATTTTATATAAGGTCGTTCCAATATCTACTTAAAGAATTGGAAAGTGCTTATACATTTAACAGTAAAAGAAGCACACAAGAAAAACAGAAAAAGAAACAAAACCAAGAAAGAACACTGGAGACGTGTGTGGGCAGTACAGCACCCTGGTAGGATGCAGGATGCTCGTGCATCTGCTGAAGGTGTGTTGTTACAGGGCAGCAGCCAGTCATCAGCAAAGAGAACTGAATAAGTGTCTTGGACTGCTACTTGCAAGCCTCCCACACATAAAAACATTGTGGAGGATATTTGTGGTTTCCGCAAAACTGCAGGGGTTTCTGTGAACAGTTATTGGGTACTAAGGAAAAATCTGTGAATGACTAACGACATGAACTCCAAATTGTGACTTTGCAGGGTTGTACTGTATCTTGGTAATATTCAGAAAGCTTCATCGTTGAGTCTTGGGCAATGGATGAGAGTATCCCGGAGATTGAAACCTGACTCAAGCCTCTCTTTCCTCATGGATGATAACTCTCCCACTTGATGACTCTTCCTAAGTTCACCATGTGTAATTTTCTTTTCTTTCCACCTTATTTATTTATTTATTTATTTATTTATTTGGTACAGGGTCTTGCTGTGCAGCTCAGACTTTTAGTAATCTTCCTGTCTCAGCCTTCCCAGTGCTGGGATTACAGGTGTGTGGCACTATGCCCAATTTTGGTGGCCAGTTCAGTGTACCTAGTGTTCTGGGGCCTGCACGTTGTACAGTACTGGAGATTGAACCTGGGTCCTTGTGCTTGCCAGGCAGGCGCTTAGGCTGCCAAGCTATCTCCCCAGCCCCACCATGTGTAATTTTCTATGAACAATGGTTTTCTTTGGTTTCTTCCCTTGAAATTCTGAATAAATTTTTGTTGTAGTAATTACCAAGAGTAACATTTCCCATGGTTTGTTGTTGCTTTTCTTCAAGAAATGTACATTTGATCATTTAGGAGACAGTGACCTTTGAGGATGTGGCTGTGAACTTCACTGTGGAGGAGTGGACTTTGCTTGATCCACCTCAAAAGAGACTCTACAGAAATGTGATGAAGGAAACTTTTAGGAACATGGCTGCTATAGGTAAAGATTGACAGTACTTTCTCGTTTACATAATCAGAGAACATTTTCATTCAGTTTCATTTATATAATCAGAGAACATTGTCATTCAGTACAGTTTCATTAAATAGAATATGTGAATATTTTGCAGAATATCTGATTATACCATTATCTCATTGATAATCGTTACTACTTTGCCTAGCTGAGGCTCTTTTCGGGGCAGGACTGTTATGGCTCGTTGAGCCAGTGATCACACCGTGGTCCCCTGTGCCTGACTGAGTTTGCCCAGGCAGGAGCTTCTAATAACTGAGCTATCCGAGAAACCCCGCCACCAATCTCATTGAAATATATTCATTTTTATGTAATAATACAGTATCTCCTTATATTTCTTTCCGTAATTCAGGAAGAGTCTTGGGTAACCAGGAAGTTGAAGAAGAGTATAAAAATTACTGGAGAAACCTAAGGTAATTTGTATTGAAAAGACAAAAATGTTTCCTCAAGATTCAGTGAATGGACAGAAATATCACAACCAGGCAAACATGCCCATGTTGAAATTTACTTAACCTCCTCATTTTATCACAAACATTCCCTATTATATATATATAGTTGTATGTTAATCGCACAAATGAATACAAAAGCATTTTAATGTAAGAAGCTTAATATTGTTGTGTTGGGGCAGGTGACAGTAGCATATAAGTATTGGAAAAGTTCATGATTACCATTCTGACTTGCATGAATTACATTTAGTATTATGTATACGTGTATATGGAAGAAAATGAATTTTGAAACCCTTCTTCAGCATATCTGTTTATGTCTACATAGCCATATGAGACACTGTGTATTTTTAAAAAAAAATGCTAGCCTTGAAGGAGTTCACATCCATGAAAGAAGTCTCACTGGGGATAACCCTATTTATGTAAGCAATGTGGCAAAGCATTCCTTTTGCATAATACGAAAAAAATTTGCTCAAAATGAAACTAATCCTTCTATATTGCAAACTGTATCAATTTTCAAATTCCCAAATGAGGACTGTGAAGATAGCTCAGTGGCACAGTGCTTGCCTGGCAAGTACAAGGTCCTGAGTTCAATTCCTGGTACAAAAAACTCCTAAAATTCCCACATGAAAACCACTCTTGGGAATCACTGATTTGAGGGTATCCTCTATGTTATTTAATTAATTCATCATCAGAATGTCTTAGGAAGCATCAAATTAGGAATTGGGGTAAATAATTAGTATGAAACCCATTGTATTGCATCTGTTTCTTTTTCTCTACAGAAATGAAGATGTTGAGAAATGCTATCAAAATAAATGCTGGAATCAATATGAAGAAATGTTCCTTTGGATGCCAGATGCTGATATGGACATGAAACTGGCTGGTTTAAAGCCAGATGAAGACCTTACTTGTGGAAATCCCTTGATTGGACCTTTGTTCCAAAATGTGCCCATCATACCTCACACTGAACTGAAAATGTCTGAGTATTTGGGATCAGAAGAGGAGCTGTATAAATGTAATAAACATGCAAGGCCTTGTGATTTACAGTCCTTTCATATGGATGTAAAGACAAAGACTAGAGAAGATATCCATGAATATGATCAATGTGGGAAATCCTGCACTCATCTTACAGAGAAGATCTTTGTGTGTAACAAAAACTTGAAAGCCTCCGGCACACCCAATATTGGTCACATCCATGAAAGAAGTCTCATTGGGGAAAAACGCTTTGTATGTAAGCAATGTGGGAAAGCTTTTACTACACAATATTATTGTAATATACATGAAAAAACTCACAGTGGTGAAAAGCCCTATGTATGTAAGCAATGTGGCAAAACTTTTAGTACACAAGTTTCTTGTCAAAGACATGAAAAAATTCACAGTGGGGAGAAACCCTATCTATGTAAGCAATGTGGGAAAGGTTTCAGGAGGCATAGTGATTGTAAAGTGCATGAGAGAATTCACACTGGAGAGAAACCCTATGTTTGTAAACAATGTGGGAAAGCTTTCGGAAGGCACAGCCACTGTAAAAGACATGAAAGAATTCACAGTGGAGAGAAACTCTATGTATGTAAGGAATGCGGGAAAACTTTTAGTACACAAAGTTCTTATCGAGGACATGAAAGAATTCACAGTGGGGACAAACCCTATGTATGTAAGCAATGTGGAAAAGCTTTTACTGTGAGAAAATCTTGTGAAAAACATGAAACAATTCACACTCGGAAAAAAAGCTATGTATGTAAGCAATGTGGGAAAGCTTTTAGCACACAGAAGTGTTGTGATATACATGAAAGAATTCACAGTGGGGAGAGGCCCTATGTATGTAAGCAATGTGGGAAAGCTTTTACTACTCAAAA